GAAAGGACCGAGAATACTTTGTCCATTTTCCCATTTTAATACCAATAATAAATAAATTATAAAACTTATATAAATTATACTTTGTTTAAAAACAAAACGAGTAGACAGCACAACAAGTATTACCGTTCTGTGCGCAAAACAAAGGATGAAATAATTTGTGTAACCAGCCCAAAATGTAGCCAAGTCAAATTTTTGTAGCCCAAAAAGTAGCCAGTGCGCCAAATGCTTTTTTAAACGCCAAACTGAAAAATAAGTAGCCCAATTTGGCGCAAAGTAGCCAAATCTGGCAACGCTGATAACCACGATTATTATTTTAAAAACTATACGTTAGGTTTAACATCGACGAAAATTCAACGCGAAGCGACACGCAACGGAGAAAAATTTCAACACGGGATAGGTTATATTTTTTCGTATATAATCGGTTCTCGGAACAACTCCAGTCTCCAATTGATTCGTATAAACGACGCTCTACTGTATCGGTATTTGTGATTAGTGAGTTAATTGTACTAATCGGATATTAGTAACTGCTGGCTAATGTTAGCTACGTCTACATGTACACGCGTAGGTATAATTTGATATAAATGTGTTGTTTTTTTTTATTTGGCTCTGAGGTGTGTTGTATTGTGAGGTCTTCAGTTAACTCTTATCCCACATTAAGATCTAGTTTACTTCGGTATTCCCCAAGATCACTACATCTACAAGATTTTACTACTACTTCTATGTCACGATTTATTCTCTGTCACGATTTATACCTTATCCCTCGCTCTACTGAGTGAAGCGTTGATTCCCAGATGTGCAGCATGAATTTGCTGTAGAACTCTGGTTCTTTGTTTCTCTGGAATTATTACGGCATGTCCTTTACATATAATATCCTTCCATAGGTATAAGTCTTCTTTAAAATCGTAGTAGGGTTTGATGGGATAGACTTTTTCCATACGTTTCTATATTCAACGGTTGCCTCGACAGTGAATTTTCCGTTAAGGCCCTCCATTGAACGATCTGACGTCACGTTTTGCAGAAAAAAGAAACGCTTTCGTTGAGAGGTCGCTTTTCAAGATGGCTGACTTAAGTAACTAGAAGGTGGCGATTGTGACTGCTAAATAATTAAAGTAACTCGCTTAACCGTTATTCGAATAAATTCTTTTATTCAAATGAACCCATATCTGTATCATTTTCTTGTATACTGGGTCTTTCTTTAATAATTTTAATTAATTTCTTGAATATTTATATCATTAGGAAGATTTAGCGGGGCAAATATCGGTCGTAATCAATTTTGGACAAATGAAAAAAATCTTAATATTTCAATATTGACCAAATTATCCAACATAATCGTGCAATCACATGTTTTATCATATACAGATTGTTCATTAATCTGTTCGCTATTACAGCATCCACAGCAGCGAATGGATAGTTTCTATAAGCGAAATTTACTTTTTCGTGGAAGCCGCCATGTTAGTTTGTTGAATACTCAACGGTCTTTCAGGTCGTTGAGACCGTTGAGCTCCCGATAATATGGATAATAATCCCGATAATAAGATGTGCTCTCCGATAATATGGAGCAGGATGGCTCTCTGCTGTGGAACACTTTTTGCAGGTAAATCTATAGCCGTTGCATAAATATCAAATCGTTGCTTCCATAAACTCCAATTTTCTGGATTTGACGTGTCCATGGAAAAAGGTTCCGGAGGAGTTAAATTATTCATCTCGCTTTTTAAATAGATTATATATATTTTTTCTGTTGCTTTAAAGTAATTGTTATATTAATATACCAAGGAGACTGTCTGTCTGCCGCAGTATCAACCTTTGAACGAAGTGTCTGATTACTTGTTTAATTAACTAAGCTGGCGCGTGTTCGTTAAGCCTCGTTTCCTTCACTGCCTTAATTATCCGCTGCCACCATGTTTTATGTGGTTTATTTAGTGTTTATATGCCCTTCGTGACGCACTTAAGACCTCCCCTGAGACAGGAATACAGACACTTACTCTGAATGCTTTATTCGGGGTCCTAATTGGACCGGGCGATCTCCACTCTTATACATTAGTCAGGGCCGTCTGTCTTGCACGTCCCTCTCTCTCTGATGTTGTCAGATCTTACCGTAACAGCAACGATTACATGATTGTAAACGATTTGTTCATTGGATACACAGAAAGTTGTCTCAACTTTTAAAACAAGATATCCAACAAGTTGGTTGCGAAAAGTACATAGTAGTTTCCACAACTAATGAATACCATCGATATCATACGTATTAAAAATTAATTTCTAGAGAAAATCGATTTTTGATTGGAGTGGGCAATAACGTGGCAGTGTGATAAGAAATTTAACAGGCTGTAATGCCATTAAAACGATAAAATTCGCAGCATAAACCTAGCTTCAAGCAGTTCTACCAGACAACGCAAGCCAAAAGCTAAGCCACCGCGGTCACCCGGTCGGTTTCAATATATAATATACTTCTTTTCACTTTTCTTTTTCTGCTTTGAGTGCACATTTTTGAGGCCAACGTGAATTTGGCCAGGTCCATAATGGATGAGAGACGGACCCGACATATCAGGAACAGACTGCTTACGAATAATTCCTGAAAAGTTCCCTCGATTCTATCTCGGATTCCCCAATACGGCAACCTTTATCGTCTCGGTCATCCAGCCGTATATATATAGTATTATAAATAAGAAATATTTTTTAAAAATATTAAAATACACAAAAAAGTAATTTTAAAACAGAATTTATATAAAAAATGAAAAATTTTTTCCATCGAGAAATGATAATGAGAGCTGGCAACACTCTTCTAATGCGGTAATTTCAATTGCAATATAGAACTTCGGTTCTAAAGTTTAAAATTTTGGAACGATTTTTGACTAAGGAATATATTTCTATTTGGAGAAAAAGTTAGTAAACGTTAATTACATTATTCTTATTGTATAATTGATAGATTTTATATATTGATATTATAGTAAAATGCTTCATTCGAGTTTTTAAAGCTTGATATCGATGTTATATAAATAATAACACTTGACAAACAAAACTACAGTAATTCTTAGTAGCTTGTCTTGTGATTTTACAACGATTTGTAATCCTTGTGGTATTGAACGAATTCAGTTTTTTGTAACTTTAGGTCTAATTGGTTCACCCCTGGTTTAAATGTATTCTCAATTCTTGCTTGTTAGAAAAACAACCCAAAGCGCGCTCAGCAGAAAATAATGAATTAATTAACACCTGATCACTCGCTGAGAGATTTATTCTTTAAACAAACGTTTTCAATCCAATCAATGGATCATCGTCAGGTTAATTAGAACATTTCAAAAAAATAGAACAACAAGTTCAAAATACAAATATTAATAACCGATAACCAATATGCTATTAACAGCAAAATAACGTTTTTAAATAATAAAATTAATACAAATTCTGCTAATACTAAAAATAAAATAAAATAGCCAAATATAACAAACAAATTGTGTATACAAAATATTAATACTTCTAACTTAATAGACAAATTGGTAATACTAAATATTAATATTGCTTACTAAACTATACAGAGTTTTTACTATATATATTATTAAAGTTATATAAAGAATGTTGAAAGATGAGTTAAGGAATTGAAAAATATTTGATTAGAATATAAAACCATGCTTTGAAAATTAATAAATAAATAAAAGCTTTGAAAATTATATTTTAGTTGTAGATTTCTATTTATTGTATATATAGCCAATAGTATTTTTGAATTAATTAAATATAATTAAATCACTTTTTAAAAATATAATATAAAATATATTATATAAAATGTTTTCTTTTATTTCAGATTATAGAATATTTTGAGAACAGACATCAAAGATATTGAAAATTAAACAAAATTTTTGTGAAATAATTAAATCATGATATATAACAATATATATATTCATCAGTGAATGTTACTTTCAGATGTCTGATAAATTTGATTCTTTCAACTATTCTTTTAACGATACATATGAAGAAATGTCTTCAGATTATAAAATGAGTGATACTGAAGATAATTTGGAAGACGTAGTTATTTTATCTCAGTCTCCACCTCGAAATGAAAATTTTTTCTACAAATCTTTTGAAATGCCATTAGTTGAAGAAGATCTATTGACACCAGACTATAAGAAAAAGCATCAAAATTTGTGTGATCTTAATATTAAAGACGACAATAGATATTTTGTTATTAATCAGTCAAAAATAGTTAAACCGAAGAAAACTATCTCCAGTTTTTATTTGTGTAATCCAGAAAAATTAAAAAACAAAAAAAATAGGAATGATGCTGAAAGAAATTATAACATGCAATTTCATTTAGAAAATTTGAATATAGATTCATCTGTAATGAAATATGGACAGTACAAATCTATGAAAAGAAAATCTCCAAGTGGTTGGACTGCAAATAAAAAACCAATAATTGCTGATGTTAAAATCTGTGATTTGAACTCTCAAGAAAATTTAACTTTAAAATGTACTGAAACTTATCAAAAAGATTCACCTGCATTAAATTACAATCTAACTCCTTGTAATTCTTCTGAGTGCAGTAAACAAGGTGACATTTCTATATCTGATTTATCAACAGAATCATCAAGTTCGGTGAAGACTTGTGAAATATCGTTTGAAGATATCTGTGATTCTAATAATTCAAAGAAAAATGATATTTCTAATATGACAAAAACTGTAGATGAAACCTTTCAGTTACCTATAGTAGTTAGGAAAGGACGAAGAAGTGCAGATGCAGTATCACTACCAAAAAGTAAATATAATTATGTAAAACGAATGTCATATCCTACAGACCGTTGTAATGAAATTAATTCATCTCTAAAGAGAAATCGAATGAATTCTTTTTTCAGTTTACCTCCATATGATATTTCTTTTTCTAAAAATATTAATATTGGTTTTATTGATACACACTGCCATCTTGACTTTTTATTCAAACGTGAACATTTTCAAGGAACATATGAAAAATATCAGTTGGAAAATTATGAAACTTTTCCTAAAAATTATGAAGGATGCATCACTATATTCTGTGAACCTCAATCATTTGCCAAGGTAATTATATTTTGTTTAAAAAATATTTAATGTTTTTCACTTTAGATTATTTGTATTATTGAATAATCTGAAGATTTAATTTATTCGTTTTCTCATTTCTTCATTTAAAAATGAAGAGACGAGAAAATGAATGAATTAAAGAAACAAATTTACCATATTTCCTGTAATAATTGCCCACATAAATATTCTTCTTTTATTAATTGCCCATCTAATTTGTATTGTGAAGTAAACTGCATTGGTTGANTTCATTTTCTCATTTCTTCATTTAAAAATGAAGAGACGAGAAAATGAATGAATTAAAGAAACAAATTTACCATATTTCCTGTAATAATTGCCCACATAAATATTCTTCTTTTATTAATTGCCCATCTAATTTGTATTGTGAAGTAAACTGCATTGGTTGATCTAAATACTAGTATATTAGTGATGTTTGATGTTATCGAATAATTGACTGTTGATACAATAATTTCCTATATGAAAGTTGGAAAAATAGATACTGTCTAATATTATCATCAAACATTGATAATAAATTTCAATAATTCCTAATATTAATTATTATCAATGTTTGATAATAATATTAGACAGTATTTATTTTGGTTTTTGTTTTACTTTGGTTTGACATCTCTTTTAAAATCATGCTTTTTTCTTACATTACTTTTTCCAATTTTTTACTCCAATAATTAACCCTCAAGAATGAAAAAAAATTACCTACTGGGCAATTATTACAGGAAATATGGTGGAAAGATACAAATAAAATTTCTATATAAAAAAGTTTTCTCTTAGAAACAACTAGAACTATAACAATTTAAATATTATAATTTAATATTAATAGAATCATATCATTAATATTTAATTTAACATTAATGTATATATGTATTTAGTAGTAGTTACATTCAATTTCAACACTCAATAGTAAGGGTTGTTTTCTGTTCAATAATATGTAGATAATTAAAACTTAAAGAACTGAAAGGATAATATACAGCAGAGCATCAGTTATCCAAAATAATTGGGATGGGACAATTTCAGATAACCAGTTTTTTTGGATAATTGATCACACTTGGTAGGGAAAAAATAAAATGGTTCTTACATCATGATTATTGCTCATGATCCTTATATTGAAGTATATAAAACAAAAAATAACATAAAATACCCAAAATAATTGGGACGGGACAATTTCAGAGTTTTTTTGGATAATTGATCACACTTCGTAGGGAAAAAATAAAATGATTCTTACATCATGATTATTGCTCATGATCCTTATATTAAAGTATATAAAACAAAAAATAACATAAATAACTTAAATAAACTATAAATATTAATTTTAATTCTAGTATAAACAGAAAGGTTAAGGCATAGAAATTTAAAGGAAATAAAAAAATTGTCTAATTTAAGGTAATAAGTACTAGTCTTTCATTGTAATCTACAAAGTACTGATTAAACTTTTAATTTAATTTAAAAAAATTCATATTTGTAAAATTAATAATAATGAGATAGCTCAATAGTGGACCTACAGAAAATTGTCAACAGTAATCATGATGTTAAAACTTTGTAATTTCTGGAATTAGTACTCTAAAGTTAATAAATTTTTCTTAACAAAAAATAAGATGGAAACAGTATAGCAAGACTAAGTGTCTTCCTATAACTTAAAGCATGTGATATGGGATGCCCAAAGAAAATAGTATAGTTTTGTAATAGGAAATACTGGAATTATTATGGAATCTGTATACAATAATACCTTGAAGTTATGCCATAAGTGGGTCTGACAAAAATCACTTAAGTCAAATTTGCATAAGTCAGGGACAATTTTGCATATAAATGCATATAAATTTTGTTTAATTGGGTCCAAGGACGAACAAAAACACTAGTTTAGAAGAAAAATATTTAATAAAATTGCAGTTTTTTTATACATATTAATACAAAATATAAAAAAATAAATGAGTTATGTAAAAATGTTACTTCAATGTTGATGGCTTCATAAAATCGTCTGATGACAGGGTCTTCTTTTTTTCATGCAGAATTTCTTCATAGCAAGCTAATCATTTTTTTATTTCTTGCTTTATAGCTATAATGAAATTCTTTGTTGGAGTCTGTTTTCTAAAATTTTTAAGCTTCTTTCAATAATTGAAAGGAGCTTAAAATTTTTAGAAAACATAGACTCAGTTCAATTATTGAACTGAGACCCTCTGTCAAGCTTGCAATTGTCATGTCCTTTTCTGGAGGAATTGGGTCTGAGGTGTCAGATACTTCAGTGACGTTTTGCTGAAGCTTCTCTAATGAGCTCATCAATTGTCAGCTCCTATGTGAATCCAACAGCTAATTTACGTCATCATCATTGATTTCCAAATATAATTGACTGGCAAGATTAACAGCAATTACCGTGTTTCCCCGAAAATAAGACATCCTCTGAATATAAGACCTAGCAGAGGTTTTGCTGAATTGCGAAATATAAGACCTAGCAAAGGTTTTTTTAGTCATAATGGTCATCGACAGATGATTGAAAGTGGCCGTTAGCTTTTTGAAAGTACAGCCACTGATTGGTCAGCAGACAATCATGCCACATGGCATGATTTGCATAAGACTATGGCTTGGGAATCACAGATTTGCATAACGTTACGGCTGGTGATTGCTAATTGGTTGGTCGAATCACGCCACATCACATTTGCATAGTGCTACGGTTCAGTAAGCACTAATTGGTAGTGATGTAATGAATACTCAGTTACTATTTGTATTCAGCCTATTTTTCGCTATTCAGCCGAATACCGAATATTTAATCACTATTCGGCCAAATACTGGATACCTAAAAACAGGAGTAAGAAATAACAAAAACACAGTAAATTAATTGTTTTGGTATTTAGGTTTAATGTTATCAGATTAGTGTTTGTTTATATTTATTTATAACTTATAACATGCACAAAATAAAAAAGAAAATAATATTAGTCACATGTATTCACAATTTATAATTACAAAGATCAGCACAAGTACACACCTATTTGTTTAAGAATCGTCGCACATCTGACAGTGAGGGTCTGACCTTGCCTATCCTTTTTTTTAAGCACTCAACTTTGCTCTTCCCTTTCTCTTTTCTCTATTGCTCTAGTCCACGTATGCCTATGCATACATCATAATATGCACTCATGATAATTTCAATTTGTCACTTTTCTGTCGTAGATTTCCCATTTTACAATTACGTGACTCATAGCCTGGTGATAACAGAGAAAAGAGACAGATAGGACATCGGTATAAGTCACAGTTATGATTTCACATATTCGAGACAGCTTGGTAGCTCGAACAGCCCCAGGCTTTCACCTGTGCATGCTAAGTGACTTTCATTACAAGCATTTAGCTTTCCGAAGTCTATGACAACAACTGTTTGGCACTGATGGCCACAAATTTCACGCCAATAAGCTGCCTTGACTTGTTCGATTATGTTACCAACTCAATTTCATATTTATTTTCATTTTCACTTCGCGGTCCTTCTCTTCTTTTTCTGTTATTTACACATGTAGGTCATTTCATTGTTATCCACATTTGATATCATCACTTATCACATACTGCCATGACGCTTGTGTCCGTCCCCTTCAACTGTCAAGAATTAACGTGATTGGCGAAGCATAGTGACAGTGGGTCAATAGAGAGCAGGGTCCTTGCCATAATGTGGTTTGCGTGTCAATTTTCATACGTGCGTTAATCAAGCCAAATAGTATGGCTGAATATTCAGCTATTTGGCCAGGAGCATGGCCGAATATACTATTCGTTGCAACACTGCTAATTGGTCATTGAGCCCAGTGTCAACGCTATGAAAAGGTTAAGTTGAAGCGAGAGTGGGAAGTCCACTCCAGCACGGGAACTTTGTAAGTTCAGTTCGACACGACAAGATTTATGTCACTCTCATTTAAGTTAGACTTGAGAATTTTTTGTTCAACAATAAATATGAATTCTTCTTCATGGAAAAATAAGAAATCCCCTGAAAATAAGACCTAGCGCATCTTTGAGAACAAAAATTAATATAAGACACTGTCTTATTTTCAGGGAAACATGGTATCACTTGAGCGATATGATCAGTTTCTAGTGTTGTTTCTGAAAAAATGGGCAAAGTTTTTTCAAGACACCATTCAATGTTTTTTGGAAATTTTATCCCAAGATTTTCCAATGATTCTTACAGCATATAAAACATTGAATTGTTTCCAAAAGTCTTAAACAGATATCGCATTGTTTTGCCTCATAGCTTCATTCAGATGTGCAAACGAACACCTTGTGTAGTATGCCTTGAATGTTTTGATGACTCCCTGGTCCATTGGTTGAAGCAAGCTGGTTGCACTTGGAGGCAAAAACACAACNTTTTTAAACTTATATTTTTTTTACTATATAAATAGGATTTTGCCACTTTTTCAAATGACAAAATCCTATTTATATATTTATCTAAAAAATATAATTAATGAATTTTTAACATTTAAATTTTGAATATTTTGTATTGTTTCATATGTACATTATTTAATAATAATAATATTTCCAAAATTATCTGGGGAGGGCCATGGACTCTTCCTTGACCCCATCCAGACTCCCAGGTAAGGTCATTCCACCCCTACTACAATTGGTCTAGCTATGCCATTGGTACCTGCAGAGGGCCTTCTGGAAAAAATAAAAATTTTGAATAAAAACTAAGTCGTCTTTCTTTCCATCTAGCCAATCACCAGGAACCAAAACAGTCTTTTCTTATTAGAGGCTACTCTCTGCACACTAAAAACAGTTCAAAAGTTCATCCAGTTGTTATTATTTTTGATGGTATCATCTTATCCTATGAGGAATTGCTTCACTAAAGCAAATAGCACTGCTCCTTTAGTGAGTAATGTCTTTAGCCAGAACATTGGACTGCTGAATAAGACAAGTAGACTAACATCTACAACATAGATGGTATTCAGCCAGCTAATGTAACACCGAGTGCCACTGAGGGTCGTGGGCGATGAAGTCGTCCCCAGTCAGTGATGTATTTAACCAAGTAAGGTTATATATAATCTAATATACTTCTGGAAGCGAAGACTTGCTCGGGGTCAGGGTGGCGTAACTGGCAAGTGCACCGCACGACAAGTGTAGGTTGTGGGTTCAAGCCCCACCCTGTGCCAGTTCTTTTATTCCAGAAGGTTCTAAAATTAATTTAATTATTTATTTATTTAATTTTAATTATTAATTTACTTACGAGATGGCGCCTAACGCCTACCTCTAATGACAAATTACTTTATTCTAATCATTTAATTAGCCATATAATAGCCCGATATTTAGGCGATCGTTTGGCAATTTAGTATATATGTTATGGACAAAGTGATTAATATGGGCATTATTCATAATGCCCGGGCATTATGAATAATGACCAACAAAATCGGGCATTGTAATAAATTTCAATAATTTATCAAATTGACCGGTCATTATGAATACTGCTACCACCTAGTCGGGCAAAGTGATAATAACATGTTGAGGAGTGATCATCCAGCATACGTTAGCAATCAGAACTTACATCTTACTTGCTCACGCGTATTGCATTTAGTACCGAACTTTAAATTTATGTGACCAGTAGTTAATCTTTATGGACAAAGTGATTACACTTTGTCCATAATGTTCTCGTAATCTCATCAATTACGAGAACATTTGGAGAAAGTACATGGATTTGCCTTTGAAGTTGAGAAGCTGGAATTCAAAAATATGAAGGGTAAGTAAATTCTGTTCTGAAATCTTAAAAATGCTGTATTTAATTAATATGTTTTAAAATAATTGTTTTCATGAATATTAACAGCTCATTCAGTAGTAAATAAAAGTATTACTTATTTGACAGATTTCTATGAATGGAAAGTAACAGAGGAATTGAGAACCAACTCTAAATATTCTGCACCTTGTGGGCCTCGCACAAAAAAATCAAGAGGAGAAAACAAATATTATTTCTATTGTAACAGGACTGGAAGAAAACGATATAAACAGCTACAGAGTAAACGACCTAACAGATGTCTAGAATCCTGTAAAATTCAAGATCACTGCACCTCAGCAATGAATGTGCTAGAAGGAAGAAATAATGTACAAGTAACTTACATCAAACCTCATTATGGTCATGATTGCAAACTTGGACATATCCCACTACTTAATGAAACACGACAGGAAATAGCAGGTAATAATTTTGGAAACATTAAGTACCTTATATTACATAAACAAAGTAGTACTTAGGGTCACAGCAACTTAAAATTGTCATTCCCATTTTCTTTCATATATCTTATGTACAGAAACTGTATATACACATCTTTTAAACTGAATGTCTCATTTCCTGTTACATTTCTCTTTGGTTAGATTTCTATAAAATTCACATACTTCTCATTTTTAAGTGAACAGTTAAATATTAAATTCATTANGAATAAATTTTTCATTTTCTTGTATGCAAAATAACTGATCTGTTATTAAACGTATCATATAACAATTTTTTAAAGATAGATAGCCCCATTTTTTAATTCTGACCCTTTCCCAGTTTTTTGTAAAAAGTTCTACTTTTCCTACATTTTTGCTTCCTGAAATGGCTTAGAAGCTAACTGTTTGTTTATTAGAACTGACAAAAATCTATATGTATCTTGAATGTGCGTGTGAACATTCAAGACACATTAAGATTTTTATCTTGAAATATTAAGATGCATACAGACATTATGCATATTATAGAGAAAAGTGCATAATGGATGTTTCAAACAGATATAATATAACTAATATGCGATACAAAAATAATATTTTTATTTATTTTNACAAGCATTTAGCTTTCCGAAGTCTATGACAACAACTGTTTGGCACTGATGGCCACAAATTTCACGCCAATAAGCTGCCTTGACTTGTTCGATTATGTTACCAACTCAATTTCATATTTATTTTCATTTTCACTTCGCGGTCCTTCTCTTCTTTTTCTGTTATTTACACATGTAGGTCATTTCATTGTTATCCACATTTGATATCATCACTTATCACATACTGCCATGACGCTTGTGTCCGTCCCCTTCAACTGTCAAGAATTAACGTGATTGGCGAAGCATAGTGACAGTGGGTCAATAGAGAGCAGGGTCCTTGCCATAATGTGGTTTGCGTGTCAATTTTCATACGTGCGTTAATCAAGCCAAATAGTATGGCTGAATATTCAGCTATTTGGCCAGGAGCATGGCCGAATATACTATTCGTTGCAACACTGCTAATTGGTCATTGAGCCCAGTGTCAACGCTATGAAAAGGTTAAGTTGAAGCGAGAGTGGGAAGTCCACTCCAGCACGGGAACTTTGTAAGTTCAGTTCGACACGACAAGATTTATGTCACTCTCATTTAAGTTAGACTTGAGAATTTTTTGTTCAACAATAAATATGAATTCTTCTTCATGGAAAAATAAGAAATCCCCTGAAAATAAGACCTAGCGCATCTTTGAGAACAAAAATTAATATAAGACACTGTCTTATTTTCAGGGAAACATGGTATCACTTGAGCGATATGATCAGTTTCTAGTGTTGTTTCTGAAAAAATGGGCAAAGTTTTTTCAAGACACCATTCAATGTTTTTTGGAAATTTTATCCCAAGATTTTCCAATGATTCTTACAGCATATAAAACATTGAATTGTTTCCAAAAGTCTTAAACAGATATCGCATTGTTTTGCCTCATAGCTTCATTCAGATGTGCAAACGAACACCTTGTGTAGTATGCCTTGAATGTTTTGATGACTCCCTGGTCCATTGGTTGAAGCAAGCTGGTTGCACTTGGAGGCAAAAACACAACTTTCACATGTGGGTCAAAATCAATTAGAGTGGCAGGAGGGTGACTGGATGCCTTGTCAATGAGAAGCATCACTTTAAATGGAATCTGTTTAGACTTGCAATAACATTAGACTTTGGGTATGAAGTAGTGACCAAATCAGTCATCTAAAATGGAAGCTGTTGTCCAAGCTTTATGATTTGACTTCCAAATAACTGGTAAGCTAATTGACAAGATTGTCTTGTTTATAAAATCATACTACCTGCTGGGTAACAAGCTTAGAGGTATGAAGGAGTATATGTCAGGAGTTGCAATTTGACACAGAGTATTAGGTGCTCAAATCATGCGTGCATAAAAAAAACCAGACTTGTAGGTACTCGGGAAACTGAGAACTGAGTCAGAATAAAATTCAAAATAGTGACACACTCTACAAACAGGCAGTAGTGTGAGATTTGCGCATGTGTTGCTCATTGGAAAGTTGGAAATGCAAATGTTGTCAAATTGAATTTTGACAGATACATGCATTGGGAAGTTCGAAATGAGAAATCAAATTTTGACAAACAAATCTTTGAAATAAACCCATTTACCTGTCCTGTGTTATTCCCAACATATCTCTGGTTGCAACGTGCTGACCTTGACCGGTTGACCTTTATATTGTTTGTGCAAAATAAAAAAAAATAATTTCGGATGATACGATAGCCAGGATTATTTTTTCAAAAACAGGAAATTTTTGTTAGGCATCGACAAAAATTCAACTTGGAGTAACATGCAACGTTGAAAAATTTTGAAATTGAATAGGTTAATTTTACTGAAAATGCATTGTGGATGACCTTGTGGTCATGGCCGGCAAAGTTTGAAAGATCACGCTCAAAACCAGCGATACTAAAGAAGATTGGAGAATGAGACCCACTTTAAGCATCAAAATGATTCCACTTAGTAGTGAGTTTCCGAGACATAGTCTTCTCACAAATATGGCCTTGCTGTTTTACATGTTTTAGATATATTTTTTAATTAATTAAGGCTCTTGGATTTTCAGAGTGGTAAATTAAGAGAAGTTTTTAACTTGCCGTCACCAGCTGCACTCCTGCCAACCATCATTCAGTTGGTCTTTAGAAACCTTAAGCTTGGAAAGTTTTTTCTTTATGTGCAATAAAAGTTCTTTTAGGCATCTTCTTCCAGAACAGGACAGTCTCATCTATATTAAATATGGTTTCACTGTTATAGTTACCTTTTTCTATCATAGCCTTGAGTGTCTCAGAAAAATAAGATAGATGCAGCTTCTTTATTGGCACTTGTCACCTCTCCACTCTCTGTGATGCTGTGCAATTACAGCTAGTTTTAAATCGGTTGAACCACCCATTACTAGTGACAGTTTTCATCTTTGCTTTCCTCCCCAACTTTTTCAATTTTTCAAAAAGCAACATAGCTTGATAACAGTGTTCTGATCAACTGGACAATTCTTCACTTTTACTTGATTATCATACCATAATTTCGGAGCATTGTTTCCATCTCAGCAATAATACCATAACATTTACAAATTATGCTTGAGTTCAAGGATTGAGCATTTTTTTACCACATCAAGAATTCTTTCTTTATCTTCTATGATTGTTCTTACTATAGATTCATATTAGCCTTATACAGGGTGTCCAGAAACGGTTAGTGCAGTTTAAAAGTAAAATAAATTAAAAATAAAAAATGTTCAAAGAAAGTTTTTTTTATTTTCAATGTACAGTTATTGGAAAATTATTTACTAAAAATTATGTTACCTAAATGGCATCCATTATGCTCCTGGCACTCTTCTAATCTTGAGCGAAGATTTCTCAGTATACATTGACGCAAAGCCTGAGACACTAATGCCATTTCTGCTTTTAATTCATTTGATGTGTGACAAGTGGCACCATCTTGTTGAAACCATGAATCAATTGAAGCCGTAAAGGAGTTATTCCCCAATAAGCTGATTTTGCAAAGAGGTGATGTTAACTGGCCACCATGCTGTCTAGACCTGAGTCCTCTGGACTATTTCTTATGAGGACTTCTTAGAGCAGGTGTACAAAAATAAGTTGAGGACACTAACTCAATTAAAGCAGAATATCACAGCAGAAATGGCATCAGTATCTCAGGCTTTGTGTCAATGTGTACTGAGAAATCTTTGCTCAAGATTAGAAGAGTTCCAGGAGTGTAATGGACGCCATTTAGATAACATAATTTTTAGTAAATAATTTTCCAATAACTGTTGATTGAAAATAAAAACAAAACTTTCTTTAAACATTTTTAATTTTTAATTTATTTTACTTTTAAACTGCACTCACCCTTTCTGGACATCCTGTATATAAAGATACAGTAATGTTCTTTAACACTTTTAAGCTCACTTACTTTTTCAAAGTCTCTACTGAAATGTTTACCCCTTTAAACCTTAGTGAAGCAAGTGTTTAATTGTTTAGTTGCTATATGCAATGAAATATGCATAAAGTTCTATTATAAAAAATAATTTTAAAAAATTATCTAAAAAACAAAAAAATGAAGGCTTTAAATTAATTTTTTCCATGAAATATTTTTCTTTTATAACTTCACTTTTGTTCTCGGATCTATAAAAAAGAAAATGTTCCATAAACTTTGATATAATTTTATAGATATGGGTCTTTGTTCCTGCATCATATTGGCGAATTTTGTGTAAAATTTACTGTAGTACAATTTTTTATATAACTAAATTATATTTGACAAAAACTCATACGTTGTGTGAAATATCTTGTAAATATGCTCATTAGTATATAAAAATATATAAAAAATGAAAAATTTATAATAATGTTCTCATTAGAATAGAAAAATCATAAATTAGTGTACATTATAATTGGATTCAATTGTAGAATAAATATATGCAGAAATATTGTCAAATATGGATAAACTGGTAAAGTAGAACAGATGATCAATACTGAGAATGATGGAAGAGGAGTTGGGTATCAGCAAACAGATAGCTCAGATCATTTCAGAACAGGGTTTGGAAAGAGGATTGTGTGTGCCTCATGCATTGATTGACAAGCAAAAAGCACAGTGAATATGTGCTGAAGATTTCAGTGACACTGCTGACAGCAATTCAAACTTTATGGATATCATTATCAATGGCAATGAATTCTGGTGATTTCAACACAGACAAAAAGAAAGCAAAAAAATGGCTGCAATCATACTCATGGCCAAAGAAACTTCATCTCCAGAAATCAAAGATGGATATAATGTTAATCACATTTTTCATCAACAGGAGGCACGATCCGCAAAAAATTTGTACTAGTGTCACACTCAACACTGCATACTACAAAGAGGTCATGAAGCAATTGTTACAAAATATTCATCATGTTCAACTGGATTACCTTTGGCCCAACTCCTAGCATCTTCTCTTCAATAATACCCCTAAACATTTGGAGTTGCTTGTGAAGTTATTTCTGATCAAAGAGGGCTTAAATATTCTCCTTACTCCCTTGATCTTGTCCTTGCTGACTTCATGCTCTTTCCCAAACTGAAGATGGCTGTAAAAGAAAGTGTTACCTGGATATTCAGGACATCCAAAGCTCTGTGACAGCAGAATTTGCAGAACTTTAATTTGACATGTTCAAACAGGCCTGCTATGACTTGTAATACTAATTTGTATGATGTTTAAATCTCTGGATTATGTTGAAAGAGATTAAACATAATTTTTCCAGCAGCTATGTGTTTGGATTTTTATAGAACTTTGGGAATTAAATTGATAGACTGTACTCAATTTCATTGATAAATATAATATATAGTATTTCATTTTATATATCATTTAATATATATTTATTGAATTGTTAATTGTTAACAAAAATGTCTTTATTTTTTGTTTGTTTTTAATAAACTTAGTAATATAGTTTTATTATAAATTTGAAATATTGTATTAAAATATTTTAATTTTTAAATTTAATCTAATATTTATCAATTACAGAAATCAGAATGGGAAAAACTTCTAAAAGAAAAAAACGTCTGGGCTGCTTTTGGTTGTCATCCACATTTTGCCAATAAATACAATGATGATATTGAAAAAGATTTGCTAAAGGCATTAGTCCATCCAAGAGTTGTCGCCTTAGGAGAAATTGGTCTAGATTACTCATCAAAGTAAATTTTAAAAAAATAGTTTTTGCTTCAGTTAGTTAGCCCAATAGTTCAATTAATATTAATTTGCTTAAAATTAAACTTTTGAATTTTTAAAAAGCAGGCAAATTTATAAAAGAAAAATAAATGAAATTACTAAAAAAAATTAAAAATGAATTTAAACTTTTAGCTAAAATCAACCATTATTTTGTAATTCTATTATATTTTAATTTATAATACATATTATAAATTATTGAAGCATATAATACATGTGCTATAATTTATAATAAATTGTAGCCCATGCTTATATGCTTTAATGTTTGTATTGAAATATATAAGTATGGGTGTCAACTGTAAGGGGCAGGAACCTGTTTAGCCTCCAATAACATTTTAAGTAGTGCCAGGCTCCCAAAGTTTCGGAGACTTGCACCAATAAAAATGTTTAAGATTTATTATTATTGATACTTACATTTAACATCTTGTTATATTCAAATTTTTCAGAAATTCTTGCCAACCTGCTATTCAGCAAGAAGTCTTTCGAAAGCAGTTGAAAATAGCTGTTCGTGAAAATCTACCTCTTGTTATTCATTGTCGAGATGCTCATGATGATTGTATAGAAATACTTAAAGAAGTAAGTAGTAGTAATATCTTGTATTTGAGTATGATTTTTAAGTTATTTACTCTTCATTTTAACAGTGCAAACCCATATATATTATAATCTTTTCCACATACTCCATTAGTTGGAATTTTTATATTCAGTTTTATAAGTTTAATTTTATAATTTAAATTAATTTTATATTAATGAAATTAAATCTATCCTCTTTTTAATGTTATTTTTTCTGTATGGCTATTAAATTTATAAGAGTATATTTTTTAAATTTTAAATAATTTTAATTTAATTTTTTAATGTTACATTAACATTAGAATAACATTTAGTTCAATATTAGTATTTTAATTTTAAGAAGAATAGAATGATTTTTTAAGGAAAAAGAAGAAAATTAATTATCTAATTTGAGAATAATTTGGTAAATATTTATAAAACAGCAGAATTGGGATCTGAAGATTAGGCAATACCAATTTTCAGATCTTATTCTATTGCATATCACAAAGACACATGAGAGAGTATTTTTAGGGTGAAAGGAACAGATGAAATGGAATATTAACTAGAGGAGTATCTTCTATAGTAGATTAATTTCATTTTTTTCCTGATTTCTTTGATTCTCAAAACATACAGTATTCAGTTAAATCAAATTTTTACAAGTTGTCAACTCTAGTTTCCTATATAAGAAATTTTTCCCATTTTGTTATCATTACAGAAGTTTTTTTCATATTCTAGTTTATAATTAAAATTTTTTTTTATATTGGGTATACAGTGTGCATGTAATAAAATATCAAAATACAGGTAACCCCCGTATAACACGGCACTTCTATAGCACGGATTCACTCTAACACGGTTCGAGAATTGGTACCATCCACTGTATAACACGGTACTTTTATAGCACGGATTCACTCTGACACGCTTCCAGAAATGGGTAAAATCCTCGTACAACATGAAATGTAATAAATTTTTACATACTTAAGTACTAATAGTTCACGAGAATTATTATTTTCGTGAACTATTAGTACTTCAGTGTGTAAATTTTCTTTTCTCGTCTCCATACACATGGTCCTTCGTGAAAATTGTTTCAATTTTGCCATATCTCGACGCTTCTGCTTCTGGTGTTGCCAGATGTTTTTCCCTTATTCCATAAGTGCTTAGCCATATAAGGAAATTTATAAAGATCTTTTAACTAGAAGCAAGCAATCTAAAATTACATACACTTTCTGCAAAAGGTAAAGCATGAATCTGAAAATAATGCAGAAAAATGCTGAGAGGATAACGATAACTTGCCAGAAATAAAACACTCTCGGTTAATAGTGCTTTTAGTGATGACAAAGAAAACATTGTTTAATTTATATTAATATGTATCACTTAAGAAAATTTTAATAAAGATATTTAACTTAATTATGAAAATATAGTAGCATGTTTATTAATTTTTGGAACCTAACCCTCCTTTTCGTACTAGTTCTTTGATTCGCATAACACGTCAATTTTTTGGAATGTAACTACCGTGTTATACGGGGGTTACCTGTATATAAATTTGACAGTCCTTTGCTTTGTCTACTATAAAATCATTGAGTTTATTTAATGTTGTAAAGTTAACTTCAGAAAGCAATTATTTTAGTTTATCTTATAAAACTTTTGTATGCTTACTTTTAAGTTATAAAAAAGTACAGTATACTTTGGTTCCAGTATTTCCAGAGGTCTTATGTTTCTTACTATTTTCTAAATTTAAAATCTTGTCATTACCTATTTTTCATCCATGTTGATAGTGTTGACAGTAAAGCTGATTGATTAATTGAATGTAATTGATTATTTATTTAGCTTTGGCAATTTTAAATAATTAATTATTATAAAGCATCAGTTCTTTGTAATCAATTATTTTTGAATTTTTATTTAAATGTATACATGTATTATTATCTTTTTTCAATTAGCAAACATTATGCCACTTTGATACAAATTATGAAAAATAATTTGTATTAAAGTGGCATACAATTTTGAATAATAATTTGTATTAAAGTGCCAGTACTCAAAATTAAAGGATAATCTTAGAGAGATAACTAGTATTTTATTGACAGATATGACATCATCACCTTAAATGTATTTATGACTGCTTATTGTTTTTAGTAGCTGCAGTCTGTTAATCTGGGCAATGTACTGTATTTTTAACTTATCTCCATATTTACCAAACAAGAGTTGGAGTTGAAAGTTAGCTAATCAATGTTAATTTTCATGTAGGTACATGAATGCATGCTTGCTAATATGTTAATGTCAAAAATTATTAATACAAAAAGGCTGGAGCAATGGAAAAATCAAAATTATCTGGGCTTAAGCTCCAAGCTCTGCTCCAAAACACTGTTTTAGCACTCCTATGAAGGAAGTAAAACAAAAGCCTGAAGTGAAGTTAAAGATATCGGAATTTACTATTTTTCAGAATGTGTTACAATTTTCTAGAATCCTAATGCTACAATTTTCAAGATGTTTGAAGAGTAAATTACAATAGCAATTCAGAATAAATTTTTCATTTTCTTGTATGCAAAATAACTGATCTGTTATTAAACGTATCATATAACAATTTTTTAAAGATAGATAGCCCCATTTTTTAATTCTGACCCTTTCCCAGTTTTTTGTAAAAAGTTCTACTTTTCCTACATTTTTGCTTCCTGAAATAGCTTAGAAGCTAACTGTTTGTTTATTAGAACTGACAAAAATCTAAATGTATCTTGAATGTGCATGTGAACATTCAAGACACATTAAGATTTTTATCTTGAAATATTAAGATGCATACAGACATTATGCATATTATAGAGAAAAGTGCATAGTGGATGTTTCAAACAGATATAATATAACTAATATACGATACAAAAATAATAATTTTATTTATTTCTATAGGAAATTCCAAGCGATTATTACATTCATCGACACTGTTTTACCGGTGACTGGAAAGAAGCGAAAATATGGCTGAATACATTTGAAAATTTATATATGGGCATAACAAATTTGGTAACTTTTCCATCAGCAAAAGAACTCCATTTTGTAGCTAAAAAAATCCCCTTAAATAGACTGTTATTAGAAACTGATGCTCCATACTTTATACCAAAACATCACGTAAGATTTTTTAAAAAATTAAACATGAATTTCTTGCTTTTAATTATAGCAAAAATTTTATCTAATATAGAAATACTGTTAAATAGAAAATTAAGTGTAAAAAAAAAAGAATTTTCTTATTGTAATCACTTTGGACTTGTCTGTACTGACTGATAACATTAAGTGGGTATAAATATATAAGATCACAATTAGTGGAAATTCTAGTTTTATTGAATCTGTCATTAAAAGAATATATGAAAACAATTAAAAAGTATAAATAATCATCATTAATTAGTTAATTAATAGTAAGTAATTCATCCAGTGTTTGCCTACTATTTTTATAGTATTGTCTTTAACAGTAGCTAGCAGATAATTGAAGTAAGAAATACTAGAAATTTAAATTGCTATAATCGTTAACATTTAGCATTTAAAGAATATTAAGGCTGGCAACAATCCATGTTGTTATTAGCCACATGCTGAGACTGATCCGATCCAGTGTCTTATTACCAAATAGGCTGACTAGACTATAGTTGAGGGCACACTAATTCTAGGAGGTACAATTTTGTATTTGACTTTTAATGTTAACAGCCTGCAGTGCTCATAACTCTAAATTGGGCACTGACTGATCCTATGGAAAAACTAGATAACAAATATCATTATATTAGCTTAAAACATATCTAAATATCTTAAAATCACTGATTACAATAAGCAAAATTTTTTAAATATATTTAAACATGTTTTGGGACATATTAATTCTAATAATATTAAACATACGATAATATTTGTGATTATAATAAGCAGATTCTACTGTATTATGTTTAGTAAATGATAAAATTAGATAAAATGAATAAGACTTAAAAATATTTTAACTCTGCTTAGAAATTAAAATGTTTTTTAATGTAGTTGAATATGAAAATATAAATATTTATTGTTGTCTCCTGTTTTATACAATTCTGTTGGAAATTTGCCAATTAATTATTGAATTTCTAAATCTTTGTTAGGCAAAATATTATCTTCCAGTTTACCAACAAGATTTGATTAGACTTAACTAATGTTGCATTTAATTTACAGAATTTTAATATATTTTAATCATTATTTAATATATCTGAGAATAATTTCTTTTAATGATTTATAAATGTAAGTAATTTTAATTAATTAAATTTGAAACTTGAGGTAAATGAAGACTAATAGAAAGTGTGAGATTAGCTGAGGATACTAACCAAGAGTACCACTTATACGACTCAGAATCGCAAGATTTGATCTCTAAACTTTTTCTAGGAGGGCTGTTAAAATTAGATAGGATATAGATGGTAAAGTCTCTATCCAACATCAGGATAATGACACCAGTTAATCAAACTTATGGTATGCGGATTAACACACGTATTGATTTGTGGAGGAGATGAGGACTTGTGTTTGATTCCAAATCTTAAGAGACATTTCTTTAACAAATAAAACAAAGATTTAATGAACAAAATAATACAAAATTAAATATGCAAATAAAACAATTTCCAGAAACTCGAATAAAGCTGTTTTGAGAGAGAGAGAGAGAGCTCACAATTTCTATCATAAATCATACTACCTTTATGCATCTTTATCTTTTTCTGTTCTTTAGATGAATATGACTGTTTGTCCTTTTTAGTTCTGTAATGGCATATATTTAAATAATTTCTTCACTATTTACCGAATTAACTCATTTTATAAAAACTGGATTCGACATTGGCCTTCAGGAGATGATATGGAATACATCTGTCCTTCTTCGGCTCTCTGGACGTACTTCTCGAATCATGCAAAATTCTTTCTTTTTCCATGAATTTTCTCCAATCAGCATTTGGTATTTTTCCACATGAACAGAGGAAAAGGGGATTTATCGAGGGGTTGACAATTCCCAGGGTGACTAAGATTTTTAGTAGATAAGGGAAAACAAAAGAATGTTTCAACTTCCATTGAAGGAAGTGACTTTTTCCAGTTTCCTTTGTTTTAGAAAATATAATTTTCCCACCAAAATCAACGAATATTTTTGTCTAAATTTTTACTTTTTCTAATTAAATTATTAATTAATCACGGGTGGTTCGCATCTCACAGAAAGTAAAAGTTTCAAATTATTGAAATATAAAGAAAAGCTATTAAAAATTGGCATCAAGACTTAAATAGCAATAAATTAAAAATATATTTGATAAAAATTTCTTCTTTGGATGATTTTTATTCCAAAAGAAATTAGAAAATATTTATTTCTAATTAACTTTCAAGTAATCTTAGTCTTAGGAATATTAAAAACAAAAGAGCAGATATAACTTTTCTTTCAAGACTTCCCAATCATACAAACATTGTGAAATGTCTTTCTTTTGAAAGTTCTTCATGGGTAAAACATTTGATAAGGAAGTTTTCAAGTAATCATTTATTCAGGAATAACTATGAACTTTTTGGTTTTCTTTGTTTACATGTTGAAAATATGGCTGTTTTAAGATGTTCCTCGAAGTTTTCCTCTAATGCAAATTTATAAAGGCTTTAATCATGGCTTAAATTGTATAGATATTAATAAAAACAACTAAAAAGACTGAGAAGTTTGTCATTTGCTTCAAACTGTTTGATTATTACAATAAGAATTTTTATCCATAAAGAAAATTTCAAAATAAGATTGTCAATGTTTACACATCTGCATAATTACAGAAGCATTTTTGCATTACTGTCTTCTTTTCAAAATTCTTCCTTTGCAATGTACTTTTTCCTTTTATTATACAGTATATCTCTTACAATGCATTCCATGATCTAGTTTTATAAATAGTCTTAATAAATACAAAAAATATTTACACGTAACAATCATTTTATGTCTGTTAGCTGATTTGCTGCACAAAAAATGCTTATCTTATTGCAAAAGATTAGGATTTGAATCTGATTATGATTCTCTTAGTTTTCACTAGACCACCCCTGATCCATTGGATCACTTACTACTAAAAGTTTATAAAAAATAGCAGATACTGTAATAAATAGTACGAGCTAGTAGCATTTTATAGATGCATAACTCCTCTGTATATCTTGTTTCATAGATTTCCTCTTGAAATAAACCTAAGATTCATCTCATCTTGCAGGATCATGGTCTGAAAGTCGATGGTACAACATGAGATGAAGAGCCATTTTTTAAATATATACTGACTGATACTATATGAACATGTAACATGCACATTGGGAGGTAGCACTCATACTCAACTACTAGATATTTTCTAGGAAAAAGAAACTGAGCTCCATGGTGTAGATTTTTCTGTTTCAGCTTGGCACAAAAAAA